CTGAGACCATAGTGTTAAGTGAAATTAATCAGACACGCGAGCTTCAATATCACATGGTTTCTCTTGCATGAGAATTATAAAGAGCAAAATAAAAGATAGGAAATAAATAGAAGTAGGGAGAGAGATCTTTCTCAAATGGGAAGGAATCCAAGAAATGGAGGGAGGGGCGAAGGGAAAGGAAAGGAGATGAAGGAGGAACTGAGGGTGTTACGTACACGCGGAGAACGTAATCACTATGTACTACAAACATAAACTAATAAAATGTTTTCCAAACCCAGTACTCACAAGCAGCCTTGGCTCACCAAAGCCCGCTTAGGAAGTGGTTCACATTCTGTTGCCTGCTCTGCGTGGAGTAGTTGTTTATTTTCTTTGCCTACACAGATTCACAGGTGCTGTGAGCCTCATTTGCCTTTTTCGTTCAGTCTCATATTCTCATTCTCTCTCTCTCCTGGGAATCAGACCTATGGTTTGCCCACCACTGAGCTACATCCCCTGCTCCTTTCTTTGAAACAGGGTCTCATGAAATTGCCCTGGCTGGCCTCAGACTTTCAATCCTCCTGCCTCAGCTTCACAAATTACAGGGATTACGGGCATGCACCTCCAGGCCCAGCTCCCATATTTCTTGAGTGGTCCTTAATTAGACTTAACAGCTCAGGGTTATGCTGGCTTCACCTTAAAACAGCAGATATGACTGTTTTCTGGCTTTAAATATTGCTAACAACAAGTATGTGTCCCACAGGGCTTCCTCCTGCCCACGCTGTCCTTTTCTGCCTGGAAGTCTGCAGTTTTTCCCTGGCTCTGTATGGACCACAGCATAACCAGGATGGACCCTGTGTTGAAGTGTGTGTCCATCTCTCTTTGAGCATTTTCTTTTTCTTTATTTTGGGGGGGTACCGGGGATCGAACTCAGGACCTTGCGCTTGCAAGGCAGGCAACAGAACCACTGAGTTAAATCCTCAGCCCTTTGAGTATTTTCTTTTTTTGGTACTGGGGATTGAACTCAGGTCCTTGTGCTTGAGGGGCAGGCGGCAGAACCACTGAGCTAAATTCCTGGCCCTTTTGAGCATTTTCTTCTGCAGTCAGCCCCTGCATTTTTGTGTGGAAATTCTCTACCGTTGCATGTTTAACTGCTTTTCCTCATTCTCCTGTTGCATTGGAGCCAGAGATGAATCAGCCAGGGTTGTCGTCTTCGTCTTACTTCCATACGATCTTTGCAGTTATTTCAGTCCACGTTTCTGTCAGGCCTGGCCTAAACCAATAGGACAAAGCAAACAGGCTGCTCTCAGCAAACAGCAGCGGCTCCTCAGTAAATAGGACAAACGGACTGGAAAGGAAGTACAAAGCCCCCAGTGCCTCGAGGTCCGGTGATTGTGTACTCAGCTGAGCAGACCCAGACTGTCCTTGGGCATCCAAGCCGTAAACATTTCACCCCAGAGGCCTCAGCCCCTCCAGTACCCACATGAACCTCCTTTCCCTGCTCTCTGCTAGTGTCTCTCTCCTGCTGCTGTCCCATCCACTCACAGATGAAACCTCTCCCAGGCAGCTGCCACCAGCTCTCCCAACGTCAGCCCAGCCTCACACGGATGTGACACACGGCTTTTCAGCTGGCTGCCAGAATCTCTGACTTTAATCCTTCTTCACTGGAATGAACTTTTCTTTTCCTTGCAACAAAAAGCCGATTTTACCAAGTGGATTCACGTGGGCTGTCTATAACAATTTCTTCTCCATTCACTGCAGTTTATTAATTTCGGCAATTTATGAAGCTCATTTGTTAACGTTAGTGTATCAAGTATCAGGCACCCGTGGCAAATATGGTCACCCTCGTTATGAAGCCTGCAGTTCAGGGGAGGGTGGGGAGGAAGAAATACATTTGCAAGACCAGGTAGTGGCAAGAAGAAACACAGGTGTGGAACTGGGCAGAGGTAGAAAGGAGCATTGTAGTTACAGCTCTCACTAAGTTGCTCAACTACCCAGTGTGGGCTTTCGAGCCTCCTGTATCAGCTTCCGGGTAGGCTGGACGGCAGATGAGGACCCCGCACCATCACCAGGAGAGGCCTTTTAGACAGAGCAGCAGGAGCAGATCCCTCTACATGGACCCCTGAGGCAAGGCCTCCGGGAAGGGTGGGCAGAGGTTGAGATCCAGACCTGGAGAAGGAGGAACACAGCCCCCGGGGACAGGGACAGGCCCAGCTGACCACAAGAGGCACAGGCCCCTCGAGGCGTCCAAGTTGGTGCCAAGGGTGGCGTCCTGGTGCTCTGCAGCCCTCACCACGGCTGCTCAGAAGTCTGAGAGCAGTCCCTGACTCGGGAGCTCGGTGTCAGGTCCAACAGGAGACCCTGACAGATGGAAGCCACTGAATAGGTCCATGACTCGGGAAAGGACCCCAAGAACAAATCTTTATTCCCCAAGCTGCAAACAAAGGAGAAGCAATGCCCAGGCCAGGATTTGGTGAGTTCCACAGTCGGTCTGGGGCCTGGGCAGAGCTGACCACGGTGGGCGCCTCGGTCACGTTCCTGTTGCTGAGACACAGTGCCCAACACGAAGCTTAAGGAGGACAGGTTTAGCGTGGCTCAGATTCGGCCTCCGTTGCTGGCTCCACCACAGAGAGGGTGTGGTGGACGGGCAGGGTTGGAGGAGAGCTGCCAGGGAGGGAGAGGACGCCTCCAGGCCACGCCCCAGCAGCCCTGCTCCTGACCAGACCTCAGCTCCCAACAGCAAGCCTGGCAGCACTCACCACCCCATCATTTCCCAAAAGCCCCATCTGGGAAGCTTGAGACTTTGGAGAGCATCTAGATATAAACCATGCACCTGGAGACCGAACCAGTGAGCAGGAGAGGGTGCCTTAGTTCAAGGATCGGCTTCCAAGATCTGCAAGATGGGCTGTGTAGATCCTCCTTCCTCAGGAGGCCAGGCCCGCAGAGGGCTGCATGGCCCAAACCCTACGACGGAGCGCTGAGCACCCCACCACGGGCTCCAAGCCCTGGGTTCCGGCCCCAGCACCACCACCAGCAGCAACATCCAGATTTAAATGCCAAGGGCACCTTCCAGAAACACCTGGACTGGCGTTTCGATCTCACCGGGCACACAGGCTGACCGGGCTGATGTGTACAGTAAGCGGCTGTGCTGGGCGCCCTCCTCCCTGATGCAGGTTGGGTTGGAAGCCAGGGCCCACTGGGCCCCCCAGCTCTGCCCCACTGTGGCTGCTCCCCACCCACTCTGGGCCAGACCGGAAGCTGCCAAGGCCCGGGGCAGCCTCCACCTCCTCCTGTTCCTCTCTCCCAAAGTGCCCAGCCCACCCTGCCCTGCTTGGGCCACTTCTCAGCTGTGCTCTGGACTACCAATGTCCACCTGCAGAACAGCTTTCTCCCTGGAGGGCCACCACTCCTGTGGAGTCCCGAGCCTGCCATTGCCTCCAGCCTCGCCCGGAAACCAGTTTCCCCACGTTCACCTCTAGGACCCTCTGGTGTTCAGCCAGAAGCCACAGTATTCTTGCTTCTCTGATCCCCGCGGCAGGCCACTGGGACATCACTGCTGCACCCAGGCAGCAGCCAGAATCCCTGGCTCCGCTCCACCAGCTTCATCAACTTCCTCTTCCAGCAGGAACCCAGCTTCCTGGACCTGCTGCAATCTGCAAGTGACCTGGGCCAGATGAGGGCCCCATCCACAGTGCCCTGAAACCCTGTGAGGGTGCTGCCCAGTGACTGGCACACAGACTCACACCCCCACCCAGCTGGCCCAGCAAAGGGAACACTGGCCGGGATAGGAGGGCCTCTCTGACAGTGGTGGTGGGAAAACTGAGAGCCAATGCAGAGGACTGGAAGGGGACCCTTCTTCAACTCAAAAGGCTGACTTTAATGTAGGACCTGAGACTCTGACACTACCAGAGGAAACACAGGGGACTCACTTCACGACTTTAGTATAAACCGGGTGTGGTGGCGCACGCCTATGATCTCAGACTCCGGAGGCTGAGACAGGAGGATCACCACACGTTCAAGGCCAGCCTGGGCTACATAATGAGACCCTGTCTCAAAAAACTAAAACCAAAAAAAGGCTTTAGTACAGGGTGAAGCTGTGCTAATACTTGCAATGGTGAACCTTTTAGAGCTTTCAGGGATTACAAAGGGCTCCCTGCAGCACATGTGCCATAGATTCACCAGCAAATAGGTGATGATTTTCTGGGTACGACTTCAAAAGCACAGGAAGTAAAAGCAGAAATTGACAAGTGGGCTTACCTCAAACTACAAAGCCTCAGCACAGCGGCAAGGAGACAGCCTACTGAACCGGGGAAAAATCTTTGCCAGTTGTTCATCTGACAGAGGTTTGATTCCCAGAATATATTAAGAACCCCAAAAACTCAACATCCTTGAAACAAGGAATGCGATTTAAAAAAACGAGCAAGTGATCTGAATAAATACTTCCCAAAAGAGCAGTTAATGCCCAATAATATATGAAAAGTACTCGATATCATTAATCCATCAAAGAAATGCAAATAAAAATTACAATGAGGGGCCGGGGATGTAGCCTAGTGGTTCCGGCGCCTGCTGTCCAAGAGCAAGGTCCTGAGTTCGATCCCCGGTACCAAAAAACCCCCCAAAAATATTAAAAACACAATTACAATGAGATTCCACCCGACCGCAGTTTGAATGGCTATTATCATGAAGGACCCAAGGAAGGAGGGAGGGAGGCCCGGAAAAGGCACACAGCACGGGGGGGATGTGGACGAATACAGCCCCGGTGGAGAACAGCGCGTGGTTCCCGGAAAACACTCGAACCTCGCCGCGACCCACGCCGCTGTGCGCAGGGCTGCGGCTCCACGGCAGCGCCGCTCACGCAGGAGCCACGCGTGTGCCCCAGGAAGCCCGCTGCATCTGCACCAGAGGGCCCGGGGCCCGGAATGGACGGGGAACGCCGGTGAGGGTCAGCACGGGAGGGCAAGGCTGCGCGCTCGCCCCCGCCCTCGGGAGCGCGGTCGCTGGGGCCGGCTGGGTGTGAGCAGAGCCAGCCGGGGCGACCACACCGCACAGGACCCGTCACTGCGGAGCATCGCGAGGCTGACCTGGCCAGGCCACCTGCCCGGCCCTTCCCCACTCTTCCACCGGCCTCCCCGCGGCTCGGCCTGGCCCCGTGCGCACGTCTGCCTGGAGTGCCCTCGGCCTGCGGCCTCTTGATCGGGTGTTTTCATGGCACCGGTCGCTACGACATTTGTTCATTACCCAAGGCCCCTTCCAGCTTCTTTAATTTTTTAGTATGCGCGTCGTGTTGGCGGATTTGCACCCGCCTATTCCAGGCCCTGCTCGGGCGCACCCCGTCTCCGCACCCCCGCCCCTGCTTGGGTTTCAAGGCACATCGCGGGTTCTGTTCGCTCTCCCAGCTGATCCGCGGCAGGCACCGGACTCAGGAGCCCCACGACCCTGAGAACAGCACCCCACGGCCTCCGGGTCACCTCCGGCTCCGACACTCAGCCGCGCCCCGCGGGTCACTCTCACGTCCTCAGCCAGGCCTTCTCTGCCGACCCCCGTCCACTTCCCTTCTCCTGGGGCCAGCAATCCCCGCACACCCTCCTCACTGCTGGCTGTGTTCACGGAGGGGCGAAGAGCCCGGAAATGCCTGGCACTACGGTAACTAGTGAGGCCCTCTGTGCATGGTTGCTGAGTGACTGCACGACCCCACACGAGGAGGCCGACGACACTGTCCCCGCGGTCCGGGTGAGGAATCTGAGGTCGGACGCTGCCGTTCGCCTGGGACTTGAAGAGGCAGGACCGGGCCCAGGGGCTCCGAGGCCCAGCCAAGCGCAGGGGAACAAAGGGCCGGAGCAGCGGGAGAGGACCCGCCCGCGGCGGGAAGGGTCAGCTCCCAGGACGCGGGGGAGCCGGTAGGGGCCAACCCCACGCTGCGGCCCCAGCAGGCCCGGGGCGGGGAGGGTGCGCGCGGGGGCTGGGTCCGGTGTTGGGCGCCTGC